GAATAGCGGCGTCGAACAATACCGCCATTTTCCCCGCGTGGCGATGCATTGTTCGATCGTCGATGCGTTTCATTCGGAAACATTGTTCCCGAAACGAGGCGGCCTGCGATTAATCGCCGCGCAAATATCATTAAGCTTTAAGCATCCCGGGGCGAACAATCGCCGGCCTCGATTTCGTGACTCGAGGAATCGCCAATTAAATCCACCTCCCTCTCCTGGATATTGCGGGGGGAGGGGGGATCGAGAACGATTAATTGCATCCTCGTAAGAAAACGATATCGATATCGTGGACTCTCTCTCTCTTCCATGGATCAACTCCAGATTATTTTGACGATTAAACGAAAGGGAAATCTATTTTCTAGATCGAGAATTTTTCTCCCTTCTTAATTTTGTTCTTTTCTTTTCTTTTCTTTGTAATTTTTATTTTAAAACAATCCAGAAGCGAGATTATGTTTTTCATCAAGCGCGAGTATCTTTCCGCAAATATTTTCATTATGATGAAACACGTGATGGAAAATGTGTAAAGTCAAATAACTCGCGTTTGATTCACTTTACTGTGAGAGGTAATAATTGAAATTAAAACAATATGAAGTTGAATGTGATGCGACATGGTAATTTGATTAAATTTTACCGTGTTACGTTTTCCTTAGAAAGAAAAAAAATATATGTTTCTGTCGTTGATTGTTACAAAAAAGGATTTTTCCCTCCAAAAATCTGATCTTTCAATGAGAATGGAGAAAATAAGAATTCGGGGAAAAACGTAACTTTTACAACGATTGAATTGGAGGAAGGGATGCTCGCTTGGATGGTAGGGGAGCGAGGAAAAACCGTTCGGTGTATCTTGGAAAGTCACAATTTCGCCCAAGTACCAGCTCGTTCCACGAACGATAGTCGTTCGATGAATGCCCTTGCCAACAGGGAACAAGAAAACTTTTGCACAAAGTACACGGCGTATCATCCGCTCGAAAAATCCGTGGCCATTGTGCGTCGCTGTTTCTTCCAGCTCCTATTATGGGATAGAATCCCATCGATCCTTGCACCGATTTTCAAGCAAATCCTGCTTTTAACGTCACGCGTGCCTGTTCACCCAGAATTTTCCTTTCAACCAGTCGTTTTCTATTCGAGTCCATCTCGGTCGATTAAATCCCACGATTCGAAAGAGAAAGGAAATTTATCGAATTTTAGATTGAAAATTTGCCGAGTCGAGGAATTTTGCAGTTTGACGAATGTAGAAATTTAAATTTCTTCCAACTGGAACAAGTTGTAAACCGGCCTCACGTTTGAAAATTGAATTGATCGAAATTTTTGAAATTATTCGAATTTTCTTATTAATAATTTTTCAATTCAATTAATTCCGATATGATTTCATGCTTTCTTTTTTTCATTTTTAATATACATATCGCGTCGCGAGCAACGTTTGATCGTTTTATCTTTCAAAATGATTTAAGATTTGGAATTGTTGGGATTAAAGTTCGAGAATTTGAAAATTATATATATATCTGTTGGTGTCAATGTAACGTTTTTTTTTACTTTTTCCATGCGGGAACTTAACCTAGGAAGTTTCATCCGCGAAATTTCGTCCCAAGTTCTCAAGATTTCAGTTTAACTTTAATTACTCTTCTAAGTCGGTGGGTAATATGTCGGTTGCTCTTTAGAAAATGGATGTGAAAGCGATGAGATAAACCATTTGCAACACTTTAATTCGAAATTCTTTGTGCGAAACATCTTTAATTTCCTAAAACAATCTGGAAATTTCTTGATCTTTGAAAAAATCCTTAATCGCGAAAAACGTGACAATTAATAAATACAATGATCCATAAATTTTTTAACTCTAAAATTAAACTTATCGCTTTTATACAATTTTCCATTCAATCATTTTTGCCGCACCTTTTAAAAACTTTGTCTTCTTTCCAACGATAAGGATGATTGAAAAGGCACGTAGCCAAAAATTAAATAGAAACAGCGGTCTGTTCTTTATCTTGTTTTTTTTTTTTTTTTTTTTTTTATTAATTGAAAGGGGATACAAAATTTCGCCAAGTTTCGATCGAGTAGTCCAAAACTGGGATAAAGTTGAAGATCGATATATCTAAAGAAACTTTCAACTTACTTTTCATTGTTATCGTTTCATTTATCGATTAAATAAATATATTTTTTCGGTACTCTATTCTATTCTATCAGTGATCAAGTTGTATAAGGGAACAATTATATTTTTATCAATTACGCTTAAAATTTTTCTTTCGCAATATAAAAATAATTAGTGTTAAAATAAATCAATATTAAATTGGAATTAAAAAAAAATAGTAAAATTGTAAAATATTTAAATGAACTCATGGGATTTGGAATAATCTCTATTCTAAGATATTGGATCCATGATAGCAGCATAATTCTAAGATCGAGTTTAATAGGCTTTTCAGCCTATCATCTTCCATTAACCATATGTTGATACAATTACATTATCCTCGCGCGGATCTCCGTCGATTAAGTTACACAAGATGCACAAGATTCATCGATTACTTCAATTATTACATCAATAGTCTACCATCCCTCGAATCATTCTAATTATTAAACAGATTAGAATCTTATTAATTTTAATAAACTTAATTATTCGGAGAGAGAAGTATCTTGTTGTTAAATTCATTAATTTCAATTACTCGTATCTTCTCAAGAAAACGCCATATCATTTCTTATTCGAATTTAGAATTCAATGATCAGTTAATGATAATTTAAAGAATTTTTTCTAATCGATTCTATTTCTATTTTCGCAAAATCTAACTAACAATCAAATCAAATAGAAATCCAAGAAATCAATAGGAAAAAAATATTGAAAAAAAAAAAGAAAAGAATACAAATAAAAATTCAAAATTGTAATTAAATTTTGAATTTCTGAAACGAAAATTGTTTTACAACGTAATAAGTATTCCACGATGCAAAAATCTCATCGTATTAAACTTTTTTCAATAATACGTCGTTCATTCCAAAACTTTGAAATTGATCGATCGGGGCAGAGAGTTTGGCAAGCAAGTGGAGGTCGGCGAAGATCGATATTCCGCGCGACAAGTTCGCAGTGCGACTTTTCAAGGTCGGGGACTCCGGAAGCCAAAAATCAGCCGCGACTTATATTTTTCTTGGCCAGAACGTCGTTCGTTTTATTGTTACATCACGTTGCAGGGGGAAACTTATCACGATCAATGATGGATATTCCGTATTTTGTGTGAAAAAAAAATTTATCGTTGAAAATTATTAAAGCGGAATTGAAGATAATGCAATTATCTTTTCTTCTTCTTCTTCTTCTTCTTCTTCTTCTTCTTCTTCTTTCAGAATCGAAACGAATGCTGAAAATTATTCATTTGGAAAATTAATTGAGAGGTTTCCACAATCCATGGAAGGTATAAATATTTTGGAAAAGATATATTTTTTTAAAATAAAGACTTTACTATTTTTTTTTTATTAAAATAAAAAATTCACAATCGATGCACGATATTCTATGTTTATATCATTGAATTATTTTTTAGATAATTTGATTCTAATTTTTAAATAAAATTGTGGACGTCTCGTGAATAAATTTGATGAGGATGATGTTAATTTGATAGATCAGAGGAGAAGATTAATAATTCGATGGTTAAGTTCACAGGAAGTTGAGGAATTAATAGTTTGAATAGATTTAATATTCAGTTATGATCTGCTTGAAGTAATTAGGCAATCGAAGGAAGTTGGTTATGAGAATGAATAGTGAGGGATTTACATTGAATACACAGTTTCTGTGAAATATATTGAATTATATAATACTGTAATTTGTTTTATTAATGTAAATTAAGTAGTTATGAAGATTTTATTAACAAACTGACATTGTTAATATTTATGTTAATAAGATTAATATTGATTCAATTTAAATGTTACATTATAAACATAGTCAAGAAAATCCATTGTGCTTCTTGAATATTTATTCACGTGCTCACTTAATTCTGTGGAATTGTAAATACATTTTCTATTGGGAACAATGTAATTTATTCTGAATTTTCTGAAAGAAAAAATTTTTGGAAAATATATATATATATATATATTTGTTCATAATTTAATCATCATTTTTAATTTTGCAGCATTATTTTTTTTTATATTTTGACAAGTATTCATTATAATTATATATATTTTATTTTCATCAAAAAATAAAATTTCACAAAGTGAAAGATAATGGTATTAAATTTTTAAAAAATATTTTTAAAAAAATTCTTCAATTCTTTTTATATCAAAAACCAAACAACTTTTTTAATTTTATTAATTAATTCCTCTTTTCGTGGATTTTTCCTTTTTTTTTAAATATTCAGGATAACACGAAAACTTCGTTTTTCTTAAAAAAAATGTTCTCATCCTTATGAATCGTTTTTTTTTTTTTTTAAACATGAAAATTACTTCTTCATCAGCGTCACCTGTAAAGTTCCAAAGTTTTCAAATTTTCGAAACTTGGCAAACTTCTCTCGTAAATAAAAATGTCACAAAACTTTTAAATATGAAATTTTAGGTTCCAAATAAAATATCTTCGAAAATTTTCAAAGATAAAAGGAAATTAAGAGAAGAAAATATGAGAAGGCGCAGAATGACAAGTAGCCATCAAATATTCATTTATTTCTGGTAACAACTATGTACACACATATACATACACATAGGCGTATTTAACATGTACGTAAATGCAGAAAGTGGTCCGTACTCGAATATGCTTGAATAAAATTATCCGCATCGCTTTCCAACATTGAAATATATAAGTACTTTTCTCTTTCTAACACGATCTTCAGGGATTTCTCGTCTCCATTTCTACCATACACTTTAATTCTCGTAGCATTACAGATAGGATCGAAGAATTATAATTCCGATACTTGTGTTACGAGGGTAATTTTAAAATATTTTTATGCGTTAGATCTTAGCCATTTGTTAGGCTTTTCTTAAATTCACCTGGACACACACCTGAGAATTTAAATATTTTTTTTAATTTTTATTTTCGAAGATCGAAGATCGAAACTTAGAAATTATTTTGTAAAGAATTATTTCATAGAAACTAGATAGATTCAGTTAAAACTATCGAATAGTGTTATTTGTGTTGTGTTGTGTATTCGATCAAATTAAAAATTTTAACAGATTATTACTGATATTTTTCTATCTGTCTACAAATTCTGAATCAATTAAGATCTAATAAATAACTAATGAGACTTAACATCTCGATTAGGCCATGTTGTTGGTTATATGAGTTCATTCAGAGTTCTAAGGCCTTTGTTTGGCACACAATTTATTTCCAAAGGAAAGGGCTAAAATTTTTTTTTAATTTTAATCATTCTAATTTTTTACATAGAAATTAAATATCTTTACCTTTTTCATAAAGAACGAATAAAGATAAGTTTTCTCGAATATGGTTAAGAAATATATTTCGGTTTATTTAACCATTTCATGATCTAATTTTTTTTTTCTATTTCTTTATATATATATATATATTTTTATCTTTTGATGGATTTGATAGTTTCAAGTGTGTGAATGTATCTTATACGCAAAATCGAGCACGAAAGGATTAAAAAATAGCACCATGATCGTTTCGAATTGGTTTACGTCCGAAAATATTTGTGAATATTCCCGGATAAATCGTTCAAAATACAGTTCTCTGGATGATAGGTTAAAAGACATTTGTAAAAATAATTTGTTTTCATGTAGAAAGTACATTCATGGACGCTTATACGCACAATTCGTCTCATAGAATCCAAAGACTTTCATTTGTGACCCTTACTCCTATTTTTTTTTCTTATTTATTTTTCTCGTTTTTCTCTTTTTTTTTTTTTTTCGAATTTTGTAGATATAATACAAAGAGTGAGCATTTGTATTAAATACAAATTTGTCTCTCGTTTGACACAATCTTATTGATTTGATAAATTATTGATTTGATTTGAGAAATTACACAAAAGACACATCAGTTCTATAAAATAAAAAGAAACGAAAATGAATTTCTTTCGATACATTCGATATGTAAATTTTAATGAAATTTTAATTTATTAAAATTTAATTATACATATATACATAAAATATATAATAATTCTTGAAATAAGATTTGCTCACTTTTCCAAATATATTTAATATATTCGAAATTTATTTCTAATGAACTCACATGTACGATACTGAGGCTGCGGGCGGAAATAGGAGTAAAAGTATCCAAAAGATTCTTTTTAAAAATTCGACAATGATACGTTATTTACTATTTTTCTCAAAGAAAATACTCGGCTACCAATGTTTCCATCATGCGTTCAATGTTTCGATATTTGGTATCAAAAGAGAGAGGTACATTCTCGATGAGTGCACTTAATCGTCAAATTCGTACATTTGGTAGGGTTTCCAGTCAAGTTTTTGAAGAGATCTAAAAGATATATTTCAAAATTTTAATTATAAATCAGAAAGTCGAAAGAAAAATTATTAAAAGTAAGGATTTATTAAGGTGAATTATTTTTCATTTACTTTTTCGCGGATTGTATGAATCCTGGAGGTCCACAGGTAAAAACACACGCGTCAGGGGAAGTTTCTGCGACCAATTCCTTTAATAAATCATCGGATATCGTGCCACGTCTACCCGTCCATGTGCTTTCGGCTTGCGAAAGGATATGTGTGACTTTTAATCTGAAACGTGTCATTATTTCATTCAAACACAATGAAATACAATGAAATTATGAAAAATAATAAATTAATGTACCTACTTTTTATCTGCACTAGCCTTTTCTAATTCCGCCACGTAAAACATGTTTTCTTCATTTTTATTGAAGTTAAGTAAGTTTATAGTCTTCCTGAAAAGATTCCAAAATAAGAAAAAGAATTATTAAATCAAGCAAAAGTTGGTGAAAACTGTGACAAATTAACATTGGTGGTCTATAATCTAACAAGTGGTCTATAAATCTAACAAACTACTTGCAATTTCACATCACGCTATGCCAGATTTAGTACAATTTCAAGAGATATAGGCTCGACCATGCCAAAAATCTTTCGTGCACAAACTTTCATCGCCACGTGATTCAAACAGATGAGCTCTACTAGACGATTCAATAAAATCTACCACCACGAATGCTTCCAGAAAAATTCTTTTTCAATAAATATTACGTATATCGCGTGATGATATTTCTTCATCGAAAAATTTCTATTCGACAAATTTTTCTCGTAATTACATACATTAAAAAAATGGCGTGCAAGATATTCATTTTTATCCGGTCCACCTTGTATAACAAACTCTATAAATATCGATTAATGATTCGTAAGAGATACTGACACGCTGCGCCTGGCCAAAGCTCGTTGAATGATGCCAAGCATCGCTGTCAAACCGGTGCCACCCGCGAGCATGTGAATGACAGAATAACGATCGAAGGATTCTATTACAAAGGCACCTAAAGCATTGCTCAAGAGGAAGGTTTGGCCAATCTGAAGAGCGGTTATGGACGGACTGAGAGCACCTTGGGGGTATCTTTTGATCATTAAACACAGACAATCGGATTTGTAATTTGGCGCTATGTCGTCAGGATGAAGGCACGGTGGGACAGGCGTGTACGATCGTGATACTTCCATCCCTGAAATAAAATATTTGATATAATTTTGGAAACAAAGTGAAAATATTGAAGTTTATTTTGAAGTTAGTTATAAGTTTCTTAATTGTAATAATAAAATTGATTTTCAAAAAATAGGTAAATTTTCAATCAATTTCTTGATAATATACAAACTATTAGAATATGCAAATTTGAAATTTAACAATATTCTTAGCAAGCACTTATTTAATATTCATTGTTTTTTTTTGAAATTTATTAACCAACGAATCAATGAATTATGAATCACAATTAGAAAATCTTCGATGACAGAGAAAAGCTAATGGAAGGAACAAATATGTACCCATGACGTTCATCTTGGCTTCTACGTGCCTGCCAATGGGCACCACTTCCAAGAAATTTTTCGCTCGAACGACTAATAGGTGAACTAATTTGGAAAGGGATTTATTCGTAACAACTTCGTATTCTTTGTAAATTCGACTATTCGTATTTGTCTCTCTGGATATCGTTTGACTACCTTGAGATTTCCATATCTCTTTCTTTTGCTTCGTAAATGTAAAATCGACCTAGAAAAAGGAAAATTGAGTTATTTATTTTAAATCTTAAATTCTTATTTAACAAGATGAAATTGAAAAATATATCACCTCCATCGTGTCGAAATTTCTGCTGCACATCGGCGGCCATTTTATTCCGCTATCAGTTCCAGCTGATGCGTTATTATGTCCTTCTCGAAAAATAACTTGAATATCAACTTCGAGTCGCTTATCCTACTTAATTGATAGCTCACACCTGGATAATCTCGAACAGTTTGGTAAAATAACGTGATCGTGTTGGATGTCTGCCTCCAATCCATTTTTATATTCGACAAATCACCGTCCGACACGTTTTCTTGACTGGTACTATGAGCTAAAAATTTATATCTTTTAGTTTTAAAATTCAAAATATCTTTGAATTCTTTTATATATATATATATAATATCAATATTAATATTTTATTATTTTTCTACGCACAAATTCCAACAAGACAAAAATCCAAACTATTAAATATAAATAGAAACAGAAAGTCTTTTCTCTTTTTCTATTCTTTTCAAATTTCAACTTTCTTGATCTTTTAATTCTTCGGTGCATATTACTCAATCTTTAAAAAAAATAAATCTTTGAATTGTTAAATCTTCATACCTCCCAAAAATTAAAATCTCAACACACGACATAAAATCATCTTAAATATCTATTTTTTCCCTCATTAACATTATCAATCACAAACATTATATTCGACTTATTTCTCAATATTTCCAAATGATATTTAATCATTTAGAAACCGAATATTTATTTTTTCCTTCCATTAACTACTTATAAATATTACATTCGATAACTCGTTAACATTCACATTCATTCGACAAATGGCGTAAAACATAAGAATAGAATGTTAAACAGTATTATCTCTGAATAACGCAATCAATGATATTGCAACTCGTAATTTTCTACATAAATTTCTTTGTAACTACAAGAGACGTAAATCGTGAATCTAATATTCATAATAATCCATTTTCATTGGCTTTCAGATTCATTTCCCAATTTGCAACATTCGTCACAACCAATCCAACTAATCATTTCTTCAGTCACATCACCAACAATCATCAACGTACACGCATTCATTCATATATCTCAACGGATTCAATAAAGTTCACGAATCTTTATCGACGATCTTTTTTTGCTATTTCCTACATAAAATCATTTTAAAAGCCATTAAGAGCATTCATTTTTTTTCTCTCTCTTGACAATACACCATGGAAAGAATAATCCTCCCTCTTTCTCCGGAACTAATTAACTAACACTCGTTTATCGCAACGAATGGCACAACGAGTAGTAGGTGGTCCTCTTTCTCTACTCACTCGTGCAACTTGTTGTTATCAGGTTCTGGGCCGTCGATGAACAATTGGTGGCGGAGTTTTCCATCGAGGACGAGGAGGAACCGCTCATCGAGCCACGGCTCAGCCTTCCCACCACGCATTTCTGAAGGATGCTCTGATAGTTGACCCAAGCGTGCACCTGCAACGGACGATCTATGGGTACGTAAAAATAAACGTCGATCGAGCGAGGGATCGGTCCTCGTTGATCGTGATGGATTGGATATTGATTGGACTCACGCTTTCGAACAGTTTGGTCGCGTCTTTGCCGACCCCTCTCATCAACTCGCTTATCCCTCCTGGGTGGAAATCCATGTAACGTGTCACGTTGAACACGATTCCTGAAAAAAACGTTGAAACGTAATTATTAATTATTACGTTACATCGTTCTTAAAAGTATTTTTTATAATATTATTTTACGAATTGTGGCAACTATGCCTAATAGTTGGAGAAAAAATTGGTGAATTTCAAAATTTAGGAGGAGAACGAGTAGGAAAACGGATCATCGTGATGAAAAAAGTTTCTTTTTTTTTTTTTGTTCTTTCAACAAAATGGAAAAAATAGAAAGATCATCATTCTCTCAAATGGAAATATTTTGATTGATTTCGAAATTCGTTTCGAATAAATTGAATTTAACACTGTTATGCGTATTACAAATTTGCAAAATTATTTTTTTTTTTTTTTTAATTCAATAAAAACTGAGAAGGTCAACTTGATTTTTCTTTTCGATTATAAACGGCATAATATAGGTGATACTATCTTGAAACTTGTTTCGAATTCATTATTGTTTTATTCCTTTCTTCATTATCAATTCACTATTACAATTGTACGATGCATAATTCGTACTAAATTTATTTATTATCTTTCTTTTTTTCGCGTGTTATTGCTTTTTTAACTGTTCGGCGTAATGGTCGAAGCGTTTCCTCATATTTTTCTGAGTCATCGTTCATTTCGTATGTCGGGTCACGCGCGATCGCAAAAATATACGCCGGCGAATTTCATAGGTAGGAATTAAAATAGGCGAGCGGCGCAGGGATCGTGACAGGAATAAAAATAAATATTGAACGATTCAACGTTGGGGAACAATGGACGTTGGGGAAAGTAAATTTTAATCAAACTAAAAGCGGACGTTCAACGGCTGCCCTATATTGTTCCTTTCCCTCTCTCCCGGCCGCCGTTTGTTCGTTTTCTTCTTGCCCGAACAACGCGCCATCCAATCACGCCCCCCATCGATTATCACCGTCTAAGAGAAAATACATAAATGTGATATCAATAATGGAAAGAATTTTCTTAATAAAAGGAACAAGGTTGAATTTCAATTTCCTAATTTAAATTTACTTCAAAGCTCAAAACCACAGTTTAGAGTTCCTCTATAATTTTCTCGTATAATATTATCATTCTAGTTTCTATTCTAGCCTCCAACACTAGTCGTTTAATATTCCTTCGTGCTTTCTGTTAACGAGCAGTTTTCTTGAGTTATCGCTCGCTTGGTGAAAAATTACTACTACACGAAAAGATAATTGTTAGATAATGGAACTAGTTTCGTGAGAAACTATTGAGAATTTAAAAAAAAAAAAAAAGAAATATCGAGAACAACGAAGGAAGATGATTAAAAAAATTGTTGGAATTTATTTAGAGATAGAAAAAATAAAATAAAATAAAATAAAACGTCAGAATGTTAGAAGTGAACGCATGAGAAACTTGAACCAACATCAATTCCACCATTTGGCCCAGATTCTCGGATTTTATTTAATTTCCACTAAGTACATAATTTTCCAATTTATATAAAGACTTTGCTCGTCCTTGCTCACCTATTTCGTTAAGCTAAACTTAAAAAGGTCATAAGTTTTCATAATACATAAATCCAAGGAAGTCGCGTTAAAACCGACTATCCCATTAATCAAATGAATTTAGATCACTCTCCGTGTTCATCGATTCTCCTTTTCTTCGATTTAATTCCAATCTGATCGTATAATTCGATGCGACCGCTTTCCCTTCGTGGAAATGAGATTAATGAATAATCTTGGTTGGTGGAAACTGCGTTTGAGCTGTTCGAGAGAATTGTTATTGGAAACGGGTCCGAGTGAAAGTTAAGTTTCGAAGTTAGACAGGAATTTAGATGGTTTACAACCGAGGAAAATGGGGGATTTATTATAGGTCTTTGAGGCCGTAAATTTTGCCGAATTAGAATTTAATTATTTAAAAGGAATGAGAAGTAGAAATATTTGAATATTGATAACGGCAATAAAGTATAAATTATCCAAAAATAACGAATTAAAAGATAGATACTTTTGCTAAAGCAAAAACATGATTAAATATTCAAGAAAATTTAAATTCGAAAAAATAAGAAATTTTATCTAAGAAGTAATGACAATATTTTATTCGTATATATAAAACTTGAAAAAAAAAAAAAGATATGTAAATCGAAAAAAAAGAGGAAGGAAATTCGAAAAGAGGAATAAAACTTAAAAAAAAAAACGAAAACGTGCTTGAACGTGAAAGAGCAATTTTCAAGATCTCTTTTTTATGTTAATTAACACGTTACATTACAACTTTCACCGTTATAACGAATTTTAAGCAGGCTTAAAAACTTTTCACTCCCGGCACCGAGAAAGAATTCTAGAATCGAATGTAGTTTTATTTTAAATAGAGCCGTTACCTCGAATCGCGATCCAAGCATCGTTTTGCTTATTATGACTGGCCAGCTCGGATAATGTTACGACCCGTGGAACACCACCAACGCCGGTTAGATCGACTCCAGAATTGCCCAATCGAATCCAGTCCATCAAACTGTGGCCGGGCGCTAGGGCGGTTTTATTCGGGGATTGCCTGCAAAACGTAAAAGATCACCTCGTTTTCCTTCCTTTCCTTTATTTTAATTTATCGATACGATCGTGAAAATAGAAGAAGAGGGACGTATTTTTAGAAATTATATTTTCGTTCGTATGAAACGTGTCGAGCGTTTTTCGGGAATCCATGGTTGCTACGTGTTGTTATTCAAATTTATATGTATATATTTTTTTCATATTTTTATGATGAAACTTATAATTCGAAATTAATTAATGAAAAAATATACATTGTCGTAATTTGATATCGAGCAAAACAAATGTAATTGATGATCGTCGTTGATGATAGGAATAGAAGGATTATCGAATGTTTTAAAGAAAATTTAATATTAAAATGTTCGTATTATTGAAAAATATTTTTCGTGCAATACAACTCGTGACCGCTTTGTTTTCTGACTGTCCGCGTGTTTTTTTATCTTAATATTCAGATCGAAATTGAATTAGCATATTTAACACGTTAACAATTAGTGACGCAGTTCCAGTTTTCAGTTATAAGAAATATTAATTATTAATGCGTTTCAAAAATTTTTATTCTAATTCTATTTATTTACAATTTAAAATGTGTATATTCGCTATCTGATATTGAAATTCGATTTTAATTCCCCGATTTCTTCCATTCCATATATTTATTTTTAAAAAAAATTTTACAGCGGACAATCAATCCATTAACTTACGCAATCTTCAAACTTAGCGGAAATATGACGACGACTCTCTCTGCCAACTTTCTAAAAGCTTTCACTTCAAGAGGAAAACGGTCATATTATCAGAAATTTAAATAATATTTCTATCTATGTTTAAATATTTTCTTTCATCCATCAGAAGTTCGAGAATTTGAACGCGATTTCGTATATTTAATTTTGTCATTATTTTCGTTGCAATAACGAGCCTCGAATGATAAATTAATAGAAAAGTTACGCAATTAAAAAAAATTCATTAATTGAAATATTTATCTGTCCGTTTTACACTATTTATTCCACATGACGCAAATTGAATGCACACAGATGAAAAAAAACTCGTCTACAGACTTCGATAAAAAGAGAAGAAGAATAAATACGTAGTTAAACATGAAGCGTATATTAATTCACATACAATAATTTGAAACTACGCGTTCCATCTAGAAACGAAATGCACATCTCGTTTATAAGAGTCAATTAAAAGTTATGTCATAATAGACGAACAAATTAATAAACTAAAATTTTTTGGAAATACATATTTCATTTGACTTAATTGTTAAACAAATATGCAAGATTAATTTATAACTAATTTTATAATTAATCATGTTACGATTGAATCATCATGACTATATATATATATATATATCAACTATATTCAAAAAATAAACCTAAAGAATTATTATAAATTATATGATAACATTTAAGATTATTAAGATATTTCTATATTACGAATTTCTCAATGGAATTTATCGTGAAACGTTAGCAAGATTAAATTTGTATAGAACGTCGAATGGAGAACGTATTATATCCTAAATTTAAAATATCCATCAAATAATTGAACGAAGAACAGATACTAGATTTATTGTTTATTCGTCGATAATATTTAAATACGCGTGGAGAAATCCTTTGGTTCGAAGGTCGATGAGTATGGAAAACACAATGGGCATGTTCGCAGAAACGAGACTCGCGTAAAAGTAATAGTCAATTATCGTTAATTACTGACCGTCCTGAATCTGCAAACCGAGACTCTGCGGAGACCCGTCGCCGTCCATGACGGAAACCAAAGACGCGCCGCAGCATCGTGGCATTTTCTCATCGAAACGTCACAGTCCGCAAACCTTTAACCATCCTCCTGCATAGAAATTGCATTGAGTTGAGAAACAACCAACCCTGAGCAAACAAAGATCTTTCGTGCGAAAAGGGAAAGAAAAGAGATTTCATCGTCATGATTTCATTCCCTTCAATCGTGGGGATTTGTATTCCGTCAATTCTACGTATGTATTTTCGTACACGTTTGATCAATTTTCTAAAATAATTGTTATTTTAGAATAAGTAGGGATTCAATAGGAAATTTTGCATTTGTATCACAAAAGAAAGGAAAAAAAATTATTGAATATATTATAATTTTTTTTAAATTATAAATATTAATCCATGAGACTTTGAATCATTAAATTAATAATTAATTTTTTTTCTAGGTATATAAAAGAAATCATGAATAAAGATTTAGTAGCCGTCCATCGATTAAAAAGATAAAGAAGAAAGTAATAAAAATGATAAATTAATATTCAGAATATTAAATCAATATTCTTTTAAAGTTCTTTTTTTTTTTTTTTTTTTAATTCTTTGCATTCGATATGCATCTCAAATATAAATATAATAAGGAAAGATTTTTTTTTTAATAATTTTTAATATCAATTTTTATATAGTAGTAAATTTTCTTTTCTTTTCTTTCTTTTTTTCTTAATATTTATAACGATAAAATATATGTTATTTTTTGCAAATACATTTAAATTTATGATAAAATATTCAAAATGCAAATTTAATTATATGTAAGTACATTAAACGCGTATCGATAAAAATGTGCATTAAATGTGCATTAAAAATGCGTTATCAAATGCATTTCCTGGAAAAAAAAAATTATCACGTCCAAAATATTGATTATTAAATCTATTTTTCTTTATTACAAGTTTACAAATTAATATTTACAATTTTATATTGTTATATACATTATAGAAATAAATAAAAATTGTGATAAAATTGTTATATAATTTTCATATTTAGTGCTTAATATGCACGATATAAATTTATAAATTGAATTTAAAAAGATAAAAGTGCAATAATTTTTTAATGGTTTTATATCTTAGATTTTCTTTTTTTATACTTTATTAAAAAATAATTACAGTGCATTAACAAATGATATAAAAAAATCTACTATTATAATTAATAGTATAATAATGTGATGTGATAATAAAATAGATTATCCTATATCAGATTGTTCTATAAATAAATTTGCTTTTATTTTCCATTCTATTCTATTATAATTTTTAATCCATTTTTCATTAAGAATTAATAATATAGATATTATTATGGATAATAATATCTTCAATTTTAAAATTATATTTCTATATTTCAAATAAAATTGTTATTCACAACTAAGAAGAAATAGATTTAAATTGATCATTTTTCATTGTAATTTAAAAATATAGTCTCGAGAAAGAAAAACCGTTTAAACTTTAATGTCAAGATATAAGCAAACTTGTGTTCAAGTTTTCGTGGAACAGCTCGTGAGGAAAGAAAATCTTATCATTGAAAGAATTAATAAAATATAATTTATTCATATTAAATTATAAGCAAATGAATTTACATCGATCTCTTTGAAAATACTTCAATTACTAATCAAGTAATAAACTCGAATAAAAGAAGGATAAAAATAATTAATTTTCGATTTTTTTATTTTATCAAAACAAAAATAAAATAATAATAGATTGTTTTGATGTGTGATTCCTCTGATAAAATTTTTGCAATACACTTGCGATATAATTATTTGATGGGAAACTTACTTGATATAAAATTTCCCATCAATACAAGAAATAAAAATATTCTCATATAAAATTAAGATCTCGCAAAAGCGAGATAATTATTCATATCCAATGTAACTTTCAGATAAAATTTTCCTAAAACAGCCTCAATTGTTCTAAAATTACTTTTTGATAAGATCAAAAAGCAACAAAAAGTGAAGAAAAAACAATACACACCAGCATATACAAAAATTAACATTAAAATTGCAAATTTTCATCTAAATATTTCATTAAATGTTTCATTAAATTAACATATGGAAATGATTGTAATAAAATTTATTATTATTCGATTTCAAAAAATCTTTTAAAAAATACTTAATGATATAATATAATAGAAAAAGTCAATAACTTCTTTTTCTTTTTTTTTTTTTATTAAAAAAGAAAGACAATAATCAATACCTCTGATATATAATAAATCAATTTGTTTTTTAAAAAATTATAAAAAATTATAAAAATTTAAAACATTAATAATCAAAATTTCTATTCAATAGTTCCAATATAAAATACATAAAAAATGTATCTACTGCAAAAAATTATCGATCCATCAAATGCAAAAATGCAAACAAGCCATAGTCCACCATGGAAGTGAATCGTAAAAAACGGCGGGAACGTGAATATTATGCGTCGATATATAGACTCTTTATTATACTTAAATTCAATCTCATGAATAATGTATATTTTCTAAAATTTGAATATATCTTATAATTGATAAAAATTTTATCAATTTAAAAAAAAAATTAAAATCTTTTTGAGAGAAGCCGAAAATTTTAAGCCAACTTATTAATAAATTTATAATTTGAATATTTTTTCATATTTTCGATAATTAGAGTGTAATATATATCGATATTCCACATCTGTGGAAATTCTCATTTTTATTAACATTATTAAAATGCAAATTTGTTTTATCATTTAAATATTATAACAAATATATAGTTTACTTTGAAGATTTTATATATTTGCTATAAATGCATAATACTCGATTTAACAATAAAGAATGGTTCATAACCAATATTAATATTAATTTATGGATTTCGATTGAAAGTTATGATACAAAAGGATATTTTCTCTGAATTAAAAAAAATTCGAACAAAATAGTCCAGTCCAATTCCTTAAACCACAAAGGATTTATAAAAAATATTTTTCATTTCCTTTTTCCAATATACATACCCAAACAATCTCATTACTTATTGAATGACCTAATATCCCCCAGGAAAAGTTCCGGAAACCAACCGAAACAACCAACAGTGGCGTCGATCGATATTCTGTTCAGATAAAATTGACAAACAATTGTCACTTTCAGCGTGATCCTCAGTGACCAGAGTCACCGATGAATAATATCGAGAAAAACACGCGCACAGTCTCTCTATTCTCTAAAGAATTCAATATCATTGCAATATCCAATATCTATGCCAAGGTCCATTCTAAATGGGAATTAAAAAAATTCATCTTTCTTTTCTTTCTATCCCTTATGATTTTCCAATTCGATTTCAATTTCAACCTTAATTTAAGATCTAAAGAGATGGTCTAAGGTTAAGACTTGTTACATTAATGTTATAAAATGGATAAACTGGCCAAAATAATTCACAGATGTCGATGAACGCGAACTATGAATTGTGTGTCGACACTAAACTATGTATTGTGTGTTTTAGGGAAACGTGACCGCGATAGATGAGAAGCAGGGTGAAACGTTGATCCCGCGCTGGTGGACTAGAAGGTACTGCACCAAACACGCGGACCGATATAGCCCTCAGACAGGTAGATCAATATAGTAGCTACGGCATGCCTAACACGCAGGATCTCTTGCCAGTGAACGCGTGACTCTCGGCCCGCGGTGATTGAGGGTGAACCTAGCCGAATTTCATCTCAAATTGAAAATAACAAGAGCTAACTTGGTTTGAAACAAGGAATACTTTCGAATAAGTAATTAATTCACTCTGGAAATTATTAAAAAAATTTGAAAGCACTGAATCTGATTGATGAATATTTCAGATTTTTTTTTTTTTTTGATATTACAATTAGAAATTTTGAAATGAAAATTCATTTCAAATGATTCGTTGATTGCTTTTTTGGAAAACCCTGGAAAGATACAGAGAAGCTACTATTAAATGTATAGATTTTGTATAACTGCAATTATGATATTGAAGGTATGGCAAGTATTTTTATTGAAATAGGAATTATATATGTATATATCTATTGACCTTCAGTATAGTTTAATTGTTATCATTTATGCAGGATGTACAAGAAGAAAATTGAATAGATCCATTGATATGTTTATCAAGTCATTCTAAGTCATAATTCATTTATTATTGATTTATGTATATCTAATTGAATGAATAATTCTTTACTTTTCAAGAAATCCTTGATTTTTTTTTTATTTATTGCTTGTATTATATTATCATTAATAAGTATCATTTTATAAAAACTAAGACTTATTGCTATATTTCATTGTTTGAGTAAAATTTTTTCTTAAATAAATTAATAATTAATGAACCAAGCCTTTATTATACATTCAATACAAATATGATGTTGTAAATATTTGATTTTCTCTTAAATATATATATTTATATATATATTATATATTATATATAATATATTTATATATATAAAATTATATGTGTACGTTTTATATATATATATATATAACATAGATTGATTGTTTCAGTGTCAAGAAGAACTTAGAGGCAACATTTCTTTATGGAAATAACAGTATATTCGATATTATATATTATATCATTTTCACGTACCTAAACCTGAATTCTCAAGTAACTCGATATCTTTCTCTTTCAGCTATATTCGATCGAATGCTGACTATTCATTCAGTCTTGAATTGTTAAATCCTTCCTGAATAGCTGACTTTGAGATATAGTTCTACTTATAGCTCCAGTAAGTGAAGTTGTTTAGTATGTATTATGATATGTATTACATATATTAGAATCTAATATTTAAATGATGAGTTATGTAGCAAAGATTTAGAAATATAGTTTAGTATTGTACAACTTATTATTAATTCGCAACTCTGTTTTTCTAACTATGAGTAGTTACATCTGAGAAAGATATATGATAAAGATATAAAGAATTAATTAATTTTTCTTTTAATTTTTATAAAATTTAAATTTAATTTAATTTAATTTAATTTAATAAAAATATAATTAATAATTAATTAATAATTTAGAAACATTGTTGAATTTAAAATAATAATTATTGATTTCTTTTTAAATAATTTAAAAAAAAAATATTATACTTGTCAAAAACAATGAAAAAATATTTGAAACAAAATAGATATTTATAATTTAACTAAATTAGATTCTAAATATTGATTGTCTAACATTTAAATATTGTTTTTTAAAAATACTTTATAGTGTATAAAGCTGACATAAATTCAGAGTTGAGAGATATGTTCGCAAGCACTTTAGATTTAACGACATGAAATTTTACTAATTAGAAGTAACTTAATCTTGTTATTTTAGCATGAATAATTTTTCAGTCAAGTGTATAATGATGTTAATACTCACATATAATATGATGAAATTTTAAATATTGTATAAGAAAATTTCTTTATCTTTACTATTACAAAACTAATTATGCAATTTTTATAAACATAAGAGAAAATTATTTCTATAAAATAATTTATTTCTTTTAATCATATAAATTGAATGAAATATAAATTTTCTAATAGAAAATTCAATGATAATATTATCATTTCCATCTCTATTATTAAACATAGGAACAAAAAAAATAGATTCACTTAAGAGAATAATCAACTGATAAAAAAAAAATCCACTTCCAAAGAAATTGATTAAAAAATTTAATTTGGATTAAATATAAAATTGAGTGAAAATTGAAAATATAGAATATGAAATAATAGAATATAAAATAAAATAAAATAAAAAGACATTTTAAAAAATAATTTTCTCATTCATATATTTGATTTTCAAACAATTAAGAATATAGAGATAAAAAAAATATTAAATATCATTCAATAAGATTTAATAAGATCTTTTTATTTTCGTTCCATCATTTACAATATTTATATTATTAATAATTTTGCAATAAAATAAATGGTGATCACATAATTCAAAATTTTATGTCAGAATTATTTGCTTTCTTTTTTCTAAGAAATAAATTATAGTTATATAATTAGTAGAATATAATTAGTAGAATAATTTTTAGTCAATTAGTAGTTAATTAGTTAGTCAATTCTTTTATAATCATGTTCATTTAAGATTTCTCTATTTAAGATTCACGCAAAAGATATAATTGCATATAAATTAAAATTGTTCTTACGACGTTGCTCATAATTTTTTTAACTCAAATGCATGAATCAACTAATGAAAAGAATCGATTAATGAAATTCCTGAACTAGAATTAAGGCTATTTAAACCAATTAAAATTCAATGTAGCCAATTAAATGTAATTGTCCGATACGTTTGTCGCCTACATGACAAAGGATTTAAATCCCACGTTAAATATTCGATTAGAACATTTAAGTATACTAAATCCTATAGAACTGGAAGTTAAACAATGACTATGAAATAAACAATGATAATGATATACAAATAAAAGAATAGATAATGTGTACTATACTTGGAAAGAGAGATTCGTGAGTCATTATTATTTCTTTTCTTTTATGATGCAAAAATAATATAATTATTGAAAAAAATATTATATATATCTTAATTACATAAAAAATTTTTTTTTAAACATACAAAACTTTTTAAAGATTTTAAATGTTAGAATATTCGTTAAAAACATTGAAAATATTAGAGTAATACAAAACAAAACACAAAATAATAGAACTTCTACGATATAACATTAAAAATAGTAAAGCTTCTATGCTATTATTTTTTGAATGGATCAACTCAAACAGTTGAAGCTCTGTTCATAAACATTCAAATGGAACTTTTAGATAGTAGAAAATTGAAATAGTAGAACTTTTACGTAATACATATTCAAAGGTTCTACTATTTCTACAAAGAGACTCATAAAACAAAGAAAGAACGAACAATCGTTCCTCAAATGTTATTTTAATAGTAAAACTTCTCATACAGGACGTTCAAACGGTAGAACTTTTGAACAATAGAATATTCAAATGGTAAAATTTTTAAATAGTAAAAAATTCAAATAGAACTTTTAATGTTATTCAGATAACCAAAAATTCTACTATTCTTGATGAAAAAACTCATAAAGCAAGGAATGAACAGAAAAACAGTCGTTCATAATTTCGATTCAGTACCGATTCTCACTATCGGGACAGGACAGGGGACAGAATGGTTATACCGAAATGGCCCTGCCCTACCCTATCCTGATCCGATAATGTAAATCGGGAACGACTTTCAAATAAGAAAAATCCTTTTTCAGAGATGAAACGTCGATCTCAAATCCCACGATGCTTTCTTCTTCCAAATTCCAATCACGAGTAAGACCAATTCTCACTATCGGGACAGGACAGGGGACAAAATGTACCTGCCAAACGGCTCTGCCCTGCCCTATCCTGACCCAATAATGCGAACCGGGCATGATCCAGCTATCAGATTGTAATTGATTGGTTGAGATGAATGGATGATTTGCTGATCTCCGACCGATGATATTCGATTAACGAAGTTGAAATAATCATGAAAGCGAGTTTGAAGATAAATCGAAATGATATGAGAAAGAAACAAGAAATGTAGAATAATGCTCTATGAAATATTTCTAAAGTGTTTCTAATCTTCTTGCCACTTTTTCAAGATTGATGAAATTTCTGTTTCTCAAAATTATTTTTCTTGTACCCAGATTTAAACATATTTTTAACTTTCATTTCCCGATTTAAAAGATGATTTTTTTATTTTTTAATATAAAAAAATTTTTATCATTATTTAAAATTATGTATCACTTAACGATAAATTATTTGAATAATTAATCTTTAAAATAAAATTTTTAAATTTATTTAAAAAATATATTTATTAATATTAAATATTAATTATTTATCTTTTAATATTTATTATTTTCATTTGAAATAAAAATTGTTCAACTTTGTATGTGATGAAGTTTTTGTGAAATTTTAATTAAAACAACTCTAGATTCTGACAACATTACATCAAGAATTAAGAATGTATTAGTTTTATAGATGAATCTTCAATTTAAATTTAAATAAATGTATTTTCAATTTATTTAAAATACTATAGGAATAATATGATAGAATTTTATTTGAATAATATAAAATATATGCAAAAGCTTTTGAAAGCCGAGTAATTGCGGTAAATAAAATATTCGTAATAAAACATAATCAAAGTTTGCTTAATAAATATGATTTAAATCGTGGCCATAATTAACTGTTTCAATTTATTAAACGTGTCACATTCTAGATACTCTGTTACAATTTGGAAACGATTCAAGTTGCACGAAGTTGAAAGATTCAATTTGCGAAACTTCAAAATTGATTCATGCTTTGGAATTAAATTATAAATTTAAAATTACGTAATATCAATACATAATGAAAGAGTAAATGGTAATGTTTAATAATATTTTTTCTGATGATATAAAAAAAGAGCAGATAACATTCAAGTTTTAACTTGTATATTTAATAACATGGATATAAACATATAAAATTTAGATTTTGTTTCTCAAGATAATCAGAGAGTATTAGAGCAAATCCTAATTTTTTTTATAAGTATATAAAATAATTTTTTTATAAGTATAATATCAAAAAACAAAATATAAAAGAATTTTTATTGATTGGAAAAATTGCAAATAAAATATGCTAATCCATCATCTTAGTTTAATGCATTAAATATATTCAATTAAATAATGAAAATGAAATAATCAATGAATTTTCTATATACAAATAAAAGCAAACAAAATTAAAAGCCAAGTCCAAAAGCTTATTTCTGAACAATCAATGAATTAGCTTACCAGTAGCCGAGCCTGATGATGATGGTCTCGTTTGACTAACTGCTCTCGCTTCCTGAAATTGCTTTACTCGAGCAATTCCACTAGGTAACAGTACAGCATTCTTCGCCAAAGAACTAACAGACAACGAAGACTTCACCTCCACCTTCTTCATCTTCTCTTGAATGTCTTTAGCATCATTGTTCACTTCTAACTCATTTACCTTTTCTTGTTGATCTTGAGCCGGACATTTCTTCATTCTGATTTCGTGTCTTTTGTTTTAATTCACAGAGAAGCAAATTTATAATTTGTATTTTCTTAGCATGAGATATTTTATTGTAACACATCGAATATGAGAAAAACAGAAAAAACTGTTGCACTTGTTATCTCACTTTTGAATTATAGCTGTGAATGAGAATCAAAATCTTTTTTATTAAAATTCGTTCTGTTAGTTTCAACTAGAATTCGTGTTTTTGTTAGTTACTGATAAAATATTTGCCTTAATAATTCTTTTCTTTCAATTATCTCATGTCCATAAAAATAATAATTGCAAAAAAATGTAAATAACAATAACAATTAAAAATATGTATGTATGTGATATTAAAAATAATTAATTGTATATAATATTAATAAAATATATTATATAATATAATATTAATAAAATATTATAATAAATAATAAGACATTATAATAAATATAATGATAAAAGTCATTATTATGATTAGTGGTAATAATGGTGAAAAATAATTTTGATTAAATATGATAACGTTCAAATAAAATTTTTCTTTTAATGGTGATACTTAAATTGCCGGAAGTCTCTGCTCGTACATGCGATTGCTGGATAAATAAATTTGAAAATTTTAATTAAATTTATCGCAAAACGCATATAATTTCTATTATAATCAAAAATATCAAAAAGCAAATTTGGAATGAAAATCATATCATTTTTTTTTCAATTTTCTTCTCAATTCCTTGAATACTTTATATATTAAAAAATATTGTATTTCTTTGAAAATATGTATTCATAAAATGCTATAATAATTTTTGTATTATTTACAAATAAAAATGAAAGAATAAATGAAGAATACAAAATAAAATAAAAAATTAAATTAAAAAAAACACAAAATAGATTATTTTTAAAAAAATATTTATAAATTTTTTCGCCACCTATTTTTCAACACATATCAAATTATTTTAATAAATGATGAATTTAAAAAGAATTTTATGTATTTATATCAATCAATGCAGCGAATCAAAATTTAAATAATTATCTATATTTAAAATTAGCAATTGAGCATATATTATAAAATTATAAAAAATTAAAAAATTAATTTCATAATTAAAAAATTGTTTAAATAATAAATTTTATATAACAAAAAATACATTATAAAAAATAAAAATAAATTATAGAAATATAGAAATGAACAAAACAATACAGAATTGGTTCAATAAACATATTCGAAATATATTGCGTGTTACTGAATAAACCTGTTAGCAATGTGGAGAAAAAAGATATACAATGACAATGACAATGTATAAAAAGTAAGAATAGTAAAAGGAATAAAGTCATTGATTTATAATAATATTTATAGTAATATAGCATTCTATAGTATTCTTAGATATTATAAAGTTGTTACTCAAATGATGATGTAATAATTTTAAAATGCAAGTAAATTAAACAATTTTGAATCAATAGAGTAACTAAAAAATATATATTGTAAATAAAGATTATCAAATTAAAAAAATTGATTTTATTTTTTTTTTAAATCAATATAACATATTCTAAATGAATCATAATATTTAATGGAATAATAACTATTAATTTCGACGTGGAAGTAATATGAAGGAATATATATATATATATATAGAGAGAGAGAGAGAGAGAGAGAGAAGAAATGTACAACAATAAGAAAAAGAAATATAGTAAGAA